GCTGATTGGACGTCAGGTCCTCGCAGGTTAAATTGAAATGAAAACCAAACTCCACCTACCAGGATGCGGGATGTGCATCTCAGGCTGCACCAGCATGCCCTGTGGCGGCATGGGGGCGGGGCTATCCCCGTGGGCATAGATTGGTCCCTGGTACGACACTGAGACAGAAGATGACAGCAGGTTAATCACAGCGAGGCGACGCTGCTGTTGCAGAACAGCTGGACGCCGTGTGGTGCTGGTCATGTGATCTGAGGCTTACTGGGCTCATAGTAGTGTCCCTCCATCACTCCCAGGTGCATGGGCGGCGCCGGCTCGGGCACGGCTCTCTGTCGCTGGGAGGAGTAGCGTTTAGCCCGGTTGTTGCCGACACCCATCTCCTCGATGCTGGAGAACTGCGGCGGGGCGCCGGGCATGTGCAGGGGGTTGGGAAGGCCTGCAGTCAGAGAGACGGGATTAACCACAGACATGGTGACATGGAGACACATGACACAGACACACGTGGAGCCAAATAACGTTTATCAACAACATTCAAACGTTCATTTTTATGGAACGTCAGGTTTAGTCTGCGTGAGAAAAAGCCGAACATCCACAGAGACGTGACGTCAGCGGAGCAGCTGTAGACGCCACCTGTGAGGCGGCGGTGTGAAAGCCTCACCTCTCATCTCCGAGCGCATGTACGAGGTCGGGCTCCAGCTCTGCCTCGCCAGATTGAGCCGCGCCACGTCCTGGTCCAGCTCCGTCACGCCTCCTCCCGCCTGGCTCGGTGCGTCGCCTCCGCCCGACCAGCTCTTTCCCCCCACGTTGCTGGGAGAAGAGGTGTTGCCCCCGGCAACGGACTCCTCCACAGACGCCTGTTTACTGCCCAGGTCTGCGGGACGCGAGCGAGTCCTGCGAGCCAGCGAGTAAGACTTGCGCTCCACCGGCCGCTCGGCGGGAGGCGAAGCTTCCCGATTGGTCGCCGCTGCCGACTGAAGGGAGGGGTCGGAGCCGGAAGAGGAAGCGGCCAATCCTGATGCAGATCTGTCCGTGCCGCCTCGCTGCTCCTGCTGGCGTCTCGGCGAAGCGGACTGGTAACCGCCCGGCTGAGGCGACGCTGCCGGCGTTACGGCGCCAACGTCCTGCTCCGTGGCCCCTCCCTGACTGACTGTAATGTCCTCAATGACCACAGAGGGCGCCCTTCCTCCTCGCCCCCCTCTGAC